TTTTAGGTATGAATATTGAACCGTTGATTATTCCTTGTTGACCGACTTTTCCTTTAAGAACCAGGAAAATCGTATTTTAGAGGGTCACAAAAGAGCGTCTCATCCCTTCAACAATCATTTGAAAGAAGCAGGAAGATGTTAATCGGTTTCAGGTGTCTAATGTTTCACATAACGCCTTTATGGGAAACCTGGAGAGACCACGATTGGCTTCACCTTAATGTTTGGTGAAATCAGATCTTCAAAGAACCACAAAAAACAGGAAACTCATGGGATAAAGCCTTCAGTTAACCCCTGATCAAAGAGCATCATCGAAAAAAACTATGAGAACTTAAAGATTGGACTAAAGAGCAGTTCCTTCTTTATTTATTTATCCATCCCTCCCTTGGGGGAGGAGCTATGATCTGGGGATGGCAGATCACAAACGCAATGAACCCAAACAATGAGGTAAGCGGACCGTCTGAAGGTACAGAATGACCAGCAGTGAACTTCTTCTTCATGGCACAGCAATAATCCAAGATGGAGGCTCCAGGATTCACCATGTTGAGTTCAAAGACCAGAAGACTTCAGAGTTATTCTGAGCTAAGAGACCAAAGAGCTGCAGTGATTCTTATTTCTACCGTATATTTAAAACAAATTCCACAAAATCATGCAAAGATAACGCATTTTCTTTCTTTTCTTCTTTTAACAATTAATGGCTTTTTTCGGTTTCATGGGATAAATTTTGAACCACTAAAGGATGAATAAAGATGTAATAATTTTATGATAATTTATGATTTACCTGACCGTTAATAATTATAAATAAAGATTTTAACCAAACTGAAAATCTGTGATTTCATATTAAAACTAAACAACAGGAACATTTAACTCCTTAAATCTGTCAGTCATTTAAAAATATATTTTTTTAAATATGTCCTCGTGTAAGAAAAATAAAGAAATTGCAAAATGATCATATTCCAGAAAATTCTTTATAGGAATTAATAGGAATAAAATAATGAAATGAGACAAACTGACTTAAGTAGTATTAAACAAAAGAATGGAATACAAGTGGAATCTAAACTGTATGTATATTTGGATCAGGGAAGCCAAGGTTCTGCAAGAATGACATAAAAAAACTGAAAAATACAGGTTTTGGAACCGCTTAGCGTTAAGCTGAACCTTTGTCACCAATAGATGAACTTGAAACATGTTTACTTACTAAGACCAGAGGTGTTGATGGCCTTCACCGACTTCTTGATCTTATACAGAACCGATCGGTCCAGGTCGAGAGCCTGCAGAGCGGACACAACAGATCACACATCAGCACCGGTTCTGAACTTTACTGAACTTAAAACAGGTGGATGGATTTTTAAACACACAAGGTTAAAGTCTGGGCAAAAACTGCAGCAACATCTGCCCTAAAAAGACAAATTAAGGATTAAAGGGCCAGTGGAGTCCCCCACATCCCTCTAACCTGACTCCGCCAGATGGATTTGCTCCGCATATCCATATGACGTACTAACAGAGCGACGACGAAGAGGAGCCAATTGATAGATCAAACTCTTGC